GAATGTTTTAAAGAAATGATCAATTAGGCTTGCTTAGTTAGCAATCATAAATTTGTAACAAAATAACTAAGCTTAGAATTTATTGAATAATATAGATTAGTTTGAACTTTGATTTATTTCTTAAAACATTACAAATTTTTATTTTTTTTCTTTTTTTTTTTTTAAAAAAAAAGAAAATAAAACATTAATAACTATTGCTTCTTTCGGTGATCATATCTTCATCCTTCCCTTTTTTTTTTTTCTGCTTTTTAATGCATTTTCAATCAAATTTTCAATGATGTATTCAAGAGAGAAGAGAACGAAATACTTTAACCAATATTTTTTAGCTTAGCTTTTATAGATTAATCTACATTTTCAATTTATTAATAGATTAAGTTGTTATCAAATAATTTCCATTGTTGATAAGGAAAAAGAAAACGAAATAATTCATTAGAATTCTATCAAAAATAAAAAAAAAAAAAGTTATTATAATTGTTATTGATCATAAAAATATGAATATTAAATTATAGTAAAGATAAAAATTCGTGGATTTGCGTTTTGTTAGGTGCAGGTGACATTAGTTGTGGTATATACTATCGTATCCTATCACTATGTTATGATATTTTATCATTATTTTTCGTAAGGTTTGTTTTTTTCTTCTTTTTTTTTCTCATTTCTGATTGATTCGTTTCATTAGTGTTTGTCAGAAGGATAAGTATATATTGAAAATATGCAATTATATTCAACAATTTTGCATTTTAGATTAATTTGAGTCTTATTTTTCAAAAAAAAAAAAAAGAGAGAAAAAGTAAAAATAGAAACAAACTTATCATTAATAACAACATTGTCTATCATTATTATTATTATTTTCTTATTTGTTTTAATAAATTATAATTTTGAACTTTTCATTGTTTTATCATTTTTATATTTTCCACTAAATTATCATAGCTTATAAGGTTGTATATAGAAACGTAAATATGTGAAATAACTTTAAAAAAAAAAAAAAGATAAAGTAAACTAATAATTTCTAGATCTCATTTCATGCTAAATAGAACTTTAAAATAACAAATTAAATTTCTTTTTTTTAACAGGCAAAAAATAATAATAATAATAAAACGAAGAAAACATTGTATAATTGTTATCCCTTACTATCTAAATTTTAAACCTTGTCATATATTACAATAAAAAATCATCAAAAAAAAGAACAAGCAAAAAATTTGAATAATATTTCAATAATAGCAAAAGAAATGTAAATTAATAATTTATCAAATATTATTTCATTAATTATGAAAATATAATTACTAAATAAATGTAATAAAAATTGATAAATTTTAAGAAATTATTTGTTATTATATTATTTAATTCAAAAAAAAAAAAAAAATAGAAATTTTTTAATTGCATTATTTGTAAACTTTGCAAAATGCAATTAATACAAAAACACTTTTTGCTTTTTGCATTTATTTATAGAAAAGCATGGAAGAAAGAGGAAAAATCGATTAAAGTGAAATTGGAAAATGTAAGACACAAAAAGACTTTTCGTATGACGTCGTTCATTTTCAAAAATGTAAACAATATTAAATCTTAAAAGTAAGCCTTCTTTATTCAAATGGCTGAATATTTTTGCTTACATTTTAAAATAATGAAAAAAGAAAAAAAAAACCTTTTTTTTTTCTCTTTTACTTTCCATATTAATAGAGATAATTAATATTTTAAAAAAAAAAAAAACCTACGAAGTATTTTCTTTCTGTTTCATTTTTTGTTTGTTTGTTTTTCTTTCTTTCTTTTTGTTTTATTTTTTGCTTCTTTTTTTCTTTTTTTTTTTTTTTGCTACGTATTTAAATATATTCAAAACTGTTTGATCGAAACTTGTTGACTTTTTCTTTTTTTTTTTTTTTATGTTTGAACAGATGCCAAAAAAGGACAAATTGAATTGTATGTTCGTAATTCCATTATTTTTGCATTTTGACAACGATTTCTTTTTCTGCCATTTTCTTTCTTTTTTCTTTCCTTTTTTTCTCTCAAATCATTGATTTCATTACTCTTTTTATTTTCTCGTTTTCTCTTTACTACGCATTTTTTTTTCGCTGAAAATAAATTTAGGCTTTTTCTTTCTAAGCTTTTATAGCTTTTATTTAGGCAAAGTAGAACTTTTTCATTTTTTTTTTCCTGATAATTTAAACTAGTTGATAGTAGGATTAGTAATATTAGACAAAATATAGATAATATTTTGATAACCAAAAATTTTTGCTCTTTGTTTTTATCTTTTATCATTCTATAAATTTCCACATATGAATCATATATTTCCGGAATACTTCATCCACAATTTCCAATTTATATTACACAATATACATATTTTGAAAAAAAAAAGATACAATCGTTACGTATGTATATACATTTTCAAAATTCATTCCAGTTTAATCATTACTAATATTGAAGTTATTTTATATTTATATCAAATAATAATTTCTAATTTCTTTTTTTTTTTTTAAATTTTATCCTTAAAAGATTAAATGAATGAATGAACAATTGTATAATATTCGTTGCAATTCTCAATAATCGATATTAGAACATTTGGAAAGTTAAAAATTTTTGCAGAAATGATAGTAGTATATATGTATATATTTAGTTGACATATCTAATATTGATGACTTCTTCTTCTTCTCTCTCTCTCTCTCTCCCTCTCTCTCTCTCACTCTGCTTTGGATTTAAAATAGATGAATGAATGTTTTGTGTACTTGCTTATATGATTAGAATAATTTTTTTTTTTGCTTTTTTTAAATCAAAATTTGACAAGAATTTGTAATCATCATTAATATTTTTTGTCATACATATATGTCAAAAAAAGAAAAAAGTTTCATATATTAATTCAGATATTTATTTTGCAAAATTTTATTTTACATTTCATCCTAGATCTATTTTAATGTTTGCTAAAGATTTAGGATTAGATAAAGTACGATCAAATAAAATCTAAATCATAAAGCTTTTGATTGTTAGAAGTTTTTTTTTAATCAGAAGATGATGAAAGCTATATTTTCTCCCAATAATAATAATAATTTTTGATTTATTGAATTTTTTTTTTCTTTTGCTTTGCCTGAATTATAAAGTAATAGTTGAATTTAAAAATGAAGGAAAAACATTAATTTAATAATTTTTGTTGACATTTATTATTATCACAATTGTTTTATTCTTACACTTAATTTTATAAATTTATCTGCTAAAATTCATATGACTAATAATAAAATGGAAAGATTATTGAATTTTTTTAGAAATCAATAGAACATATGCCCCCTCTCTCTTCTCATATTTATACTTCGCCCATCTCTCTCATGTATATTAGTTTAATTTAGTAATGCAAGAGCAAAATTTACTCTAAATGGAACAAATTTAATTATTTTTTTTTTAAAGTATTAAAAAATTTTAGGTAAGCAATTACGATTGTCTAATTTTCTCAAATAATAACAATAATAATTTGATAAAATATATGCTAAAATTTCAAATATTGTTATTTTCATAGTTTTTAAATGATATTCATTAGTAAAAAAAATTTTTTTTCTTATTCTACCTTTTTATAGGCCAAATTAGCGCAACATCAATTTAAATATTTCCCTATTCTCACTTTAATTATTTCCCCGTTCATTTCTACGTCATCTCTCACGTATCCTCTTTGTTACCCTTCTCCTTTGTCCCAATTTTATAATTTTATTTTGTCATCTGCCACTGTCACATCATTGCTTACTATGTGTGTTTAAACTGTTCCATTGCATTGATCAATTTTCTTCTTTCTTTTTTTTTGAAATGAAATTTCAATTTTAATTGCTATATTTATGTTCCTTATTTATGATTTTTGCATTAAGAAACATGCAATTTAAATATATCAGTTTGTATCAGTAAATTAGATGTGACAATTTATTCGTTATCATTCCATACCTAGATAATTCGTAATCATTCGTAATCATATAACGATGAATTAAAATTAAACATGTTTTGAATTTTAATTTTATTCATTAATGATTACAGATTGTTGCATTTTCACATTCAGGTGGAGCGTCTAAAAATGCAATTACAAAAAAATTAAAGTATAATTTAAATGTAATTTTAATTTTTACTTACTACTTCATAAATTTTTTTTTTTCTTGAATTTGATTTAAACCATAGTAACGTCATTTAAAAAAATATATCTATTTCAACGTTTGAGAGACAAAAAAAAAATTTCTCCAGACTTTTTTTTCTTTTCGGAATCTTTAAAATATTTGTAATGACATCACGATAGCATATTACACATTATTAATCATTTGTAGAACAATAAAAAAAGAAAAAAAAAAGAAAGAAAGACGATTTAAAAAATCAGTTTTTTGACGTCATGCAAATAAAACAAAACATTCAAATTTTGAAATTAATTAGTTTAACTATAAATTAGAAAAATTAGTTAGTCTAAAATATTGTCATTTAGCACATTTCATGTGAAACACAATTACTATAGCAATGATCTTTTTCAACAAATATCGTCCAATATAATAATTTTGTTTTTATAATTTAAAAAAAAAAGGACAAAGATGAAAGAATAAAAATGTGAAGAATTTTTTTCACTTATTCAACTCTTTTTCTCTAAGTTATTCCAGCAATAATTAGCAATAATAATTAAAATAATATAATGGTAATAATATTAGAGTAAATAGATGAAGAGACATTTCAGGATTTCGTACTATGCAATGAATAATGTAACAGGAAGAGATGGTTAAAATCGAATTTAAAATAAAATTGATGCCAATGAAATAACGCATCCACGAATAAACCTTTTCTAAGATATATGGCGACAATTCTATTTTATTAGCAGAGAGACGAGACAATGTGGTGACATTATCGTTCAGTATTGTGCTCTATGCACCGTATCACTTATTAGACATTCATAAATAATATTTTCCCTCTTATCGATTGTTATATTACTGTAAATTACTGTATTACTGTATTTCTTGTAAAAAAAAGAAAGAAAAAATTTAATTAAATATTGGAATAATTGAAGAATGAAATTTTTACTTATAACTGCTAATGTTGGATCATTATTTGAAGAGGTAACTTTTTTTTTAGTACGATATTCTTTTTTAATTATTATTTTGTATTATTAAATTAGCTGTTCTTTTTTTTTTTTCTCAATTTTATAGAAAATTCTCTAATCTTTTGTCAAAAATTATTTTTTTACACCAATTTTATTAATTGAGAGTGGGAAAAAAAAGACGAGGAGAATTTGTGATCATTTAATTTGCATATATCAATTATCAGTTATCATACATTTTCAGTCATGCCGAATACGTAATGCTTGGCTGTCAACTTTTACACAGGTAATTGTTTATTTTGTAAACAAATGTAGGCTTTTTTTTTGATAGAAATGAACAAAAAAAAAAAAAAAAACTTTGCACTTAAGATAAGAGAAAATGAAGAAAAAATTCAAAAAATAAGCATAAAAAAATTAGTAAACTCATGAGAATTATTTCTTTTTAATTTGGTCAAAATCATTTCTTTCTTTCTTATTTTTCAAAAAAATATGAGAAAAGTAATTAAGATCAAATAAGAGAGAAATAGAAGTGATTATTGTTTGTTGTGAAGAAAAACTTATGTTGTTTTTCAAATAATTTTGCGATAAAAAGAAAAAAAAAAACAAAAGAAATTCAAATGAAAAAGAAAATGTGTTTGCTTTAAAATCTACAGGATAAGTGGTTTTATTATTTTAAAAAAGATGAAAAATGCTAGAAATTTGCAAAATTTCTAGGTGAAAATTACCTTGATCACATTTGTAATTAAATAATTTAATAGCTTAAATTTTATGATTATAATTTTTTCATGATTAAAATTTTTTGTGATTTCTTATAAAAGATGTTTCTCATTATTTCTAGTTCTCAAAACTGTAAGTAAACGAAGTACTAAAATATTATTTAAAATAATTTCAAATTGTTTATGCTTTACTATAAATTGAATTGTATTATTTTGATATATTCGAAATAATGAATTAAAGATGGAAGAAAGATAAAAAATTATTTTCAAATGAAATTAATAATCATTCTATACATATGTTTATTAATATTATAGCGAAAAATTTTTTTTTCTACTAAAATATAAATTTTAGGTTATCAAAGAAAGCAATGCCCATTTTATTGCAATACATATGCAAGAAGTTGGTGGGAAAAATTTTGAGGAATGTATCAGTCAAGTACCAACTTTTTTAAATCATATATCAGGTAGCATGCATGAAATGGGATATTCAACTGGGCGCGCTTACCTGGATCTTGAATTTGACTTACCTGAAAGTTACAATGTACGTTTTCTTTCCGTTTTTTTTTTTTCTTTTGAACAGAAATATCGTCAACAATTTTTACTTTCAATAATAGTTTAAATTTTCGTTTTTTCCTTTCTTTTTTAAAGAGAAAGAAATTTCATAATATGGAAATATTTCGCTTTCAAATTTTTATAAGATTTTACAATATGATAGTGTTTTACAAAACTTTTTATTAAAAAAAAAAAAAAATTATTATGAAATTCTTTCTTATGATATTCTACAACGTCATAATATTTCATTTTAAAATTTTAGAGAAAAATTTAAAAAGAACTTTTATATTGTCTCTTTGTTTTTTTTTTTATTTGATTTTAACAAAAAATTATTGTTCCACTGAAATTGTAATGAAAATAATTACATAATAAATAAATATATTTACAGGCGCTTGGCTCATTATTTTTCATTAATGATGTGACATTACCGCGAATACGACAATATGATTTTGTGGGAAAGCAGTTTGTTAAATTGGAAAAAGTTTTTGAATCATGTGATCATGGCTTGTTGAAGTGTCGAATGTTACGTAAAGCTAAATTTCCGAAAGATTTTTGGCCAACTGTTAAATGGGGTCGAAAAGGATATATGCATTGTCGATTTCGTATTGATCAGACGTTAATTTATTAACTATATAATTTTTATAATATCATATTTTACTAACTAAAATATAGATTTTTCTTTTTTTTTCTGAATCAATTTATAATTTTTAGAATTGATTCGAAATAATACTTAGATTATATTTGCAAATACTAATTTAATATATCAAAAAAGAAGAAAAAAACAAAGTAATTTAAAAAGTTATTGTAAAATTAATATGACAATAATTGATAATGTAAGATAAGATAGTTTTCGAAATTTTATATAACTTAAAATTTTCTTTTCAGTGTTTACGATTTTGTCAATGTACATTTATTTCATGATGAATCTAACATTGCATTGATACATGAGGTTTCAATTTCATTTCTTAATGAAATGTATATCTGAAATATATCTTTATAATGTATATCTGAAAATATAACTCATGGGGAAAAAAAAAATAAGCACTTTAAATATATGTTTCAAAATAATTCTTATAATAAATTAATATTTAATTAGAGGATGAGATTTTTGAAATTCAGTTAATAGATTAGTTTATTAACAAATATATTCTAGGAGCAGCTAAAATTTCAAACTATTCAATGAAATTTCAAACTCAAATTATATCTCATTTGTAAAATTTATACCATTGAATCAAAAGTTTTGTATCAAATTTTAAATTAATTTTATTTATTCATTGATTGTATTAATGAGATTCATTGTTGCAGAATCCTTCACTTTATAGTGAAAATCGAAAACGAGCATTAAATTTCGTTTTGAATGAATTAAAACGGAATGAAGATGATAAACATTCATATCCGCTTTTCTTATTTGGTGATTTGAATTTTCGACTCGATTTGCAATCATTTTTAAATGTATGTATTTGTATGAATAATATTTGAGGTTTCTTTTCTTTTCTTTTTTGATGAAATTTATTTGAAATGATTCATTTCAACATTATTTTTTTTTCCTGAAATTATTTGCAGCATATGAAATATACTGTAAATGATTTCAGTTATCAATTGATTTAGATTATTCATTCTAGAAATTTTTCATCTTAAATTTTATTAAAGATCATTTTTAGAATGTTTGCAATTGTATCATTTTCATTTTTATTTTTCCTTTAGAAATAATTTATTTTAAATTGTTATAAAAATTTTAAATGACAATTTTTAGAAATGATTTATTCAAGAAAATAACCAATAAAGTTGTTTTCTTTATAGAATATATGAAATTTCCGGAGAAAGGGAGAGAGAGAGGGAGAGAGAGGGGCGAGAGAAAAGCTCTTATCCTAAAATATTACTGCAGCGTATTACTGATGATACTGATTTACGAGAAGATTCAACAGAATCCACTCAATCAAGCATCTGTAGTACCGATGGATGCGGTGATTTGTTAACGGCTAGTTCACAACATACCAATGAGCTTAAACCATCAACAGATTTTAGACGAACTGTATCAGCAATTGAATTTCGCCGATCACCTGATAATTTCACCAGTGATATTCCAACCAGGTGAGTTAAAGGTATGAAATTTAGTTATCATAATTAATTTCTGTTTTGATTCAAATATTTTGAAAAATTATCAATTGAAATATAATTGATATTATCGATATAAATATTAACAATGAAATTATCATATAATTTCACAAATTTTATGTTGTATAGAAATCATAATTATTATTTTATACTATATAGAAAGTTTAATCATTTGTAACATGCTATTATTACTTGCTTATTTTGATAAATCTACGATATATGAAATTCTAAAAATATTTACGGAGAAAATGATTATTGTAAGAATATAACATAGAAGTAAAATTTATTACTTTTTAAAATTTTTGTATTGTTTTGAGTTAAACTTTTTTTTTTTAATTATGAAAACATATTATTAGATTATTGAATTTAGTTGCGTACTTCGAATTGAGAAGAAACTTTTCGATTACTTCAACCACAAACGATTGCTAAATGAATGGCAGGGTTATTTGGAAGATGATCGGGAGGCACACAATTTCCCGTGCCTACGCGAACTTAGTATTAATTTTCCACCTACGTAAGTTTTATTTGTTAATTGAAATTATTTTTGAAATGATTTTTATTTCAATTCTAGCATTACACGACTTAACATTTTCCCTTTTCTCTTTCTCTCTCTCTTTTTTAATCTTCCATTCTTTTGTTTATCTTTTTTATTGTTTTGAAATAAAAAAAAAAAGCACTATAAGGTAGATGACGTAACACTACACAATATTTCACGTAACGCAATACCAAATACTTCACGTAATTCATTCATCTGATCCAATACTATATTAGCATGCAAAAGTAGTATAAAAAATTTATTCACATTTATAATTAATCAAAATTGTCTTTTTTTTATTCTTAAAATTTTTAGATATCCATGGAGTGAAAATCCGGATGAATCGGAATCCCTGATGAAGACACGTGCGCCAGCATGGTGTGATCGTGTGTTAATGAATGCACGAGCATTAGAAATAGTTAAACGAGATAAATTTGCTAAATATGATAGTTTTGGAAAAGATGTATGCATGGGTGATCATAAGGTTAATGATATTTTCTCGATCTTTTTCCTTTTTCCCGTTTTCTCTTTTAAAATTTTAATTTAACAAATTTTAAACTATTTTGCTAAAATTATAATTTATGAAGTTTTATGTAATATTTTAACAATCTCTTATTTTTTTTTCTCTTGTAAACAACAAAATTTAAACTTTTTATTTTGAAAAATATTTATTTATAAAATTATAAATATTTCAGCCAGTGATGTTATCATTCAGCGTGATTGTATGAACAAAATGTGAAATAATTGTTATAGATTACTATAATGTGTGTAATATCTTTTTTCTGAGATTTGAATTAGCTGTGGATTATTTTACCTTTTTTTTTTTGCTTAAACGACTAACTAATTATATCAGGATTACCAACCTCAATATAAACCTTTTTTTTTTTTTTGTTCTTTCTCTCGCTTCTTTTTTTGTTACTTCAAACTAGCTTATAATCGAGTGATAATTTCAACGTTCTTTCATTTTTATGATTTCATTTTTTTAATTCTTAGAAAATAAACAAAAAATGTTTCAAATATGTTTGTTCATGTAAATATTAATTAATTACCGCTTTTTTTTCTCTTTTTTCTCCTTTTCTGCTTTTCCCTCTCTCTCTCTCTCTCTCTCTCTCTTTCTCAAAGACACAGTGAATATGTGATAATCACAGTTTATCAATAAAATGAACAAAGCATTCTGATTTGTTTTCCTTCATTTATTTATGTGATTGTTAAATCTTTTACATTGCTTGTTTGTTTTCTATCCGTAAAAGTAGTGAGCATCACTTTGTAGTAATTATCACCTGAGGCAAACCAGTCTTCAATCATATTAGCTCTCTCCCTCTCTCTTTTTCTCTCATCCTCTCCCTTTCCCTCTCTCTCTATTTCCCTCTCCTTTATTAATATTAGTTTATAGTACTAAAAGTATGATATGCTTCATTTCTTTTAACTCTCTAAACTTTTACTCGCATATTGGTATGATAAATTTATGATAATCATAAATTTTATTCCTTTTTCATTTGTTTTTTTTTTCTCCAATTTTAAATACTCCGTAATTTTAATTTCGCATTAATTTTTAATTCAAATATTATTGTTCATATTTATATGTCTTTCGGGTAGAAGCAAATATTTATTTATTTATTTGATATAATTATATCAAATATCATTTGTTTGGCATATGTCAGCAACAAATGTATATATATATATATGTGTGTGTGTTTTTTTTCGTTTTCTTTGTAGGGTTCATTGCAACAGAATTGAAATAAACAATTGTTTGAACTTTTTTCTTTTTAAGTCTCAAACTTTAGCAATTGTAAATTAAATAAATAATATAGAATTGTTTTAAAGTATTCAAATATTTCGATTAAAACGGAACAAAAAAAGAAAAGAAAGGAAACAATTATAAAGGTTAGAAAAGAACTTTTTTTTTTTCGTTTTTTGAAATGAATTTGTCAAGAAATTTATCAAGCTTTTTTTTTAATTTTTCTACATTAATTTTGTTGAATAGTAGATTAATTCTGAAGCTAATTTTATTAAAATTATTAAATTAATTATTTGACGGCGTTCACCGTTCCATTCATAGCACACAAAATTTGACGTAAACATTTAAACTGGTCTGCAGGTCCAATTATTTTATTAGTTTTATTTTTATTATCGTTATTATTATTACTATCATCATTATTAATTGCAATCCCAATTATTTTATTAGTTTTATTTTTATTATCGTTATTATTATTACTATCATCATTATTAATTGCAATTATTACAATAATTATTATCAATTATTATTATTGCCATAATCATTATTACTTATAATAATTATTATTTTGATCATTATTATTTTTATTATTGTCATCGCTATTACTGCCATTAATTGTTATTAAATACTATTATTATTAATTATTACTACTACTAACGATTATTGATATTTTTGATTATTTACTATTATTATTATTAATAATTATAAATGTTATCAAATTATTCAAGAAGAAAAATTATGAATTTCTTGAATCAATGTAGATTATTTCTTACCTACTACTTCTGTAATTTAATATATTCTAAATTGATAAATCTTGTTTAAAAATTACTTATTTGGAATTTGAAAAACTTTATACCTATTGTAGCATCAGCAGGCAAACTTTTTAAAAGTTTTTGTATTAACAAAACAAAGTGATATATATTAAGAAGAGAAAAATTGGTAAAATTCTTCGGATTATTTTAAAAATTTGAGGAAACTTTAACATTTTATCCTACTTAGTAGCATTTTTTAAATGTTTAACAATAATAATAATTTTGAATTTCATTTCAAATATGTAATTAATAAATTATCCATTATTTATTCTTTCTTTTTCTTTTTTTTTTCATATGTCAAAAATTTTATTCACTTTATTTTTAAAAATTGTCGCAAGCAAAATTTGATTCGTGGTATCATAGCAATTTGTGTAAAACTTTCTTTTCTATCGGTTTTAGTTTTCTTTTTTTTTTTCTTTTCGTTTCGTTTCGTTTTTTTTTTTTTTTTTTTTTTTTTTCATTCTTATCTCCTCGTTTTTCTTTTTTTTTTGTTGTCTCATTGACACATTCATCATTGTTGGTATTCAAAAACTACTCGAATTAGTAATCAACAATTTCCACTGATTAACGGTTGGTCCGCTAAGCTTTTTGATGTGTGAGAACCGGAAATTGTTTAAAAAACAAAAACGAATCACATCTATGGCAGTGTCTAAATGGAATGTCTTTAACATACTTATACATATATTGTTTATTGTTTATTGCTGAAAAGATGAAAGTAACATGTAAAAATGGATAAAAAAAAAAAAAGTGGTAATTTGATATTTTTGACAAATGTAAAAAAGGTAAATAAAATAATTAGGAAGTGTTTACTACAAGAATAAAAATTTTAAATTAATTTTGTATAGTTTAATTCATAGAATAACTTTTCTTTTTTATTTCTTTCTAACATTAAATGAACTCTTTAAAATGTTCAATTCTTTGCAATTAATTCTGTCGTTTAACTTTTTTTTTTTTTTGAAATGATTTTGTTTTAGATGCATTTTTAATAAAAAAGAGAAGAAAACAATGATAATAATAAATAGTAGCTATGCTATAATTTCTTATTTATAATCATCGTTTTGTTTTCCTTTTCTCTCTTCCTCTCTTTCTCTTTCTCTCTCTCTCTTTGTTTGTCTCGTTTGCTTTTCCCTTTTTGATTCATTTTCTAATTTTAATATAATGCATCACCTTTTTAATCATTTTTAATTATTGAATATTTGAAAATGAATTTTTTTTTTTTTTAAATCAAAAGGAAACACCAATTCTTCATTCCTTTTTTTTTTTTTTAAATGAAAAAAAAAAAAGAATTAAATTGTTAATGTTACAAAGAGAAAATTATACAATTTCACAGTAAAGAATAAGGATCATCTGGCACATCTTCTTACATTCAACGAAATGACAACAATGCCATATGTGAAGCGTATCAAAAATGTTTCCGCCTAAAAATTTCCGTGGCCATATACCACGTGTTTCACTTATTACTTATTTGCATATCTTTTTTTTTTTTCTTTTTGATTTATATTATCTTTCGTTTTCTTTTTTTTTTTTTTTTCATTATTAATTTTCCTTATTATTCAACTATTTTAATGGTACCAAAAATTTATCATTTATCACAATCAACAATTATTTCTTAGCCATTCATTTATAATTGTTTCCTTCAGTCCCTGTCAACTGTCATTTATTATTATAATATGGTATAAGTTGAAATATTTCAGAATATATTCCTAATTTAATATTATAGAAATGAGTAAGATAATTTGTTTTTTTTTTTTTTTTTTTACTTTCTTTCAGTGATAAAATATAATCAATTTGAATAATTTAATAATTATAGTATATATATCTAAATATTTTAAAGTAACATATTAAAATAAATATTATTAGTATATCTAAATATTTTAAGATTTTCCACTCTTTTTTTTTTCTCACTTGATTCATTTCATTGTGAAATTTTGAAACAAATCATTTATTAAAGTTATTTTTATTGCATATACATATATGTATGAGTATTAAAATTTTGTAGTATTAATTTTTCTTAGTTTAATTAACTTTTCAGGTAGAAATTAATTAATTTGCAACTAATTTCATTTTTTCGTCTTTTTCTCTCTTCTCTTTTCTTGTTTCTTGCACAGCTAATGAAATTCTTAAATAATCTATCGAAAAAACATCAATGTTACCTTTACTGTTTAACAAAAATTTCATATCCTAAAATTTTCATTTTGAATTATTTAAAATACATCTGGCAAATATTGAGATTTTCTATTTCGAATAAAGAAATTATTCTTAGTCCCATTTTATCATTTGATCTAAAATTTGAACAATAAAAAAAAGAAACAACTGAATACTTAATTACGGTAGCAAAAAAAAAAGAATTAATTTGCATATGGTAGAATGTTGAATGATAGATATATTATGAATTGTAATAAAAGTATAAAATAATCTAATATTCAGATAATTTATCCATTATCACTCAATATTTATCAAAATGTGATAAAATTATCGAAACCTAAGTTTATACAGTTAATTATCATTCCATTTTGATGATTGATAAAAATGATAATCGATATAATTTAAGGGTATTAACTAAACTAAAAAAAAAATTTGTTTTTCTTACAAAATTGTAATACATTTGTTATTATTAACAGAGAAAAAGAAGTAGTTCCATTTTAAAAAAATAAAAATAAAAATTTAATTATTCCAATTAATCACTATCTTTTGACCATTCTTTTATCACACAGCACTATTGCATAGCAATGATAGCATTAAAAAAGTTTTGCAGATGGAATAGCAAAATTGCTAGAAAAAAATGATTATCTTTTCCCAATCACTATGGCATAAATTTTATAAGTTTTTAAATTTCGATTGAAATTATCTATTTTTTCAAAATTATACCATGCATTTACAAAATGAAAAATTTGCTTTAATCATACATATGACTTTATGGGTGAGATTATAAAAACGAATACCTTTAAAATGATATCTGTTAACATCAAATATAAGTTTTTAATAAGCGATGCAAGATGATTCACTATCAATAGTAATCAAAATTTGAATAAAATTTGAAATAATTTATAAATTATACATTTAATACTAATCAAATAGTTCTTTCTTTTCTAGGAAAACAAAGTGCTAACTTCAAAATTTGAATTAATATAAAAATTTATGCAAAAATAAAAATTGCAACAATAACAAAAATTTAAGTAAA